TTTGTAGCTCTTAAGAGAACAACAAAAAAACTCTTGTTCATCTAAACTTCTGAAGCTTTTCACAATCCCATCTCTAAAACTTTTCTACTTAGGCTTGTCAAACTTGTTTTATATAAACTGCCTATAACTTCATTTTTTCCCAAACTTGGCTCAGGATACATTGATTGCAACAATGAAATGCCCTTAGTTTTACAGTAACAATTACCAATGGTATGAGATTAAAATGAAGATTCCTTCCCCCCACCCATTAATTCTAGATACCGAGATGTAAATGTGCCCTTTGATTCTTTGTAATTTCATATAAGCTGGGGGATAAATTCTAGTTTAAAGACATGTAATTGTTGGACTCTCCTCAATGGCAAACCTTTTTAAAAATTAGAAAATAAAAATAACTCATAAGAAAGATCTCTCTAGTTAGAGGGATTCTTAAAATCTGCCTCTTCCCAAAAGTGATATTTATTATGCTCCTGTAAAATGTTCTTAAATTTTAAAAGCAAAATTTTTAAAAAATTAAATAACTTCAAAGTAAACCAGATAAAGAGGGCTCTGTAAATGAGGCAAAGAAACTGGACAAATTGGAACTAAAATGAGAATAGTCATCTTGTTAATGTTTGCCTCAAGCCAACTTAAAATTATTCAAATTAAAAGAAAATATTTACTGAAAAGTGAATATATATTTTAAATTACATACATAAGGAAAAGTTTAGTGGAATCCTCCATTTTGGCATATTGGGTTTTAATTGTTCAGGTAAGTTTTTAACATTTAAGAAAACAAGATTTATGTATGTGTATTTATAGGTTAAGTTTCTTATGAAATTCAACAATATTGAATAATATAACCATTGTGATTCAGAAGACAAGAAATATATAGCATTTAACCTTATGATCAACTTATATCACAGCTTTCTTATGAAATTTACATAATCATACAACACATGCACACAAACTTTTCATAAAATTCTTATAGGACTTAAATGTTCAATAAATTAGAATATAGTTGACTTATATCTCTGAATTCCCATCCTGATGCATAACAATAAAAGGCATGTAATGAATGTTTGTTGAATGAATAAATAAGTGAAAGTTTAAAAATTATAATGACATTGGAAGAAAAATTAAATTTTTCCTACAGTAAGTAGATGGAGATTTCAGCCACAGAAAATTTCACCTTATATGCAGCAGTTTTTTATTATGACCTCCAAAATTAAAATACATGTGGAAAAAATCCAGAATGCATTTGTTCTAAACTTTACTAAACTTTCTTTTAAAAACTTTTGTAGCATACAACTTTTGTTATTCAAGGTTATAGTGTCAATGTGTCAGATAGGTACATACAGAGATACACAAACACACAGAGACACAAATACTTACAAACACATACAATTATGAAACTTAAAGGAATCATATATACTCATAAAAACAATCTTATGCACATTAACCAAAAAAAGTTAAAGTCTTCCCAGGTAAGAATAATTAGAGAATTTAATCAATACCAATATATGTATAAGTTTTTATGAGTTAGAAAATTTTTACAAAAATAAAGTATGAATTATCAATGAATATACACATAGATATTCATTAACAAAATCTATAATACTGTTTCTCAAGTTATAAATTTCATGTAGTTTTAAACTAACTTGTTAGTATTCTAAATAAAATTTTTTACATAGAACAAGGTCCTTTAAAACAGCTCCCTTAGGTTTAAAAACAAATAAAATTTCTTCTTTTCTAAGTGCCTATTTAAACATTGAAATATCTTTATGTTTTAGCCTATGTGATTTTATAAAATTTCTCTTCATTTAATGTTTTCTACTTGAAAACTGTGTATGAAAGTATATAACATATTTTGTACTTTTAAGAGATCTATTTTAAATTTTCACATGAAATGTTGAAAGCCACTTTAAATGAATACGCAAAACAAAAACGAAACAAAGTTCCTCTGTTTTTAAAAGAATGAATTGTGTAAGCAATATTATAATAATGGGAAAGAATTAAAAGCTTTTAAAAAATCAGTGACACTACCAATAACCAACAATAATCAAGTTTCTCTTTCTCATATTTTCCTCCAGTTCACATCTAAATATATATTTAAAATTTTACTTGGTTTATAATAATAACTGTTGGTTCATGACTTGGCCCCTGTACACAGAGGGCAAGGAGGGATGAAAGAAAGACCGAAATAATTCCAGATTTGTAGGTGGAAGTTTTAATAAGGGAACTTATGAGGCTTGGTTTGAGCAGCAGCAATATCAGATCTCCACACCCACCTGCCAGAATCTTAAAAGTTTATGTCTTAAGTGAGTTCAGTTACATATTCAACTCAGATGCTCTTTACATACATTGTTCTTCTCAAGTCTGAATCCTTGAAGGTGGCTCCCACTTTGGGAATGGTTGGCAGAACTTACATTCCAAGGACAGGGGAGATGGGGAGGAGCCTCTGCTGGAGTCCAGCTCATGAGTCAACCTGTGGTCCTATCCTCTCAACAACATATAAAATAATTTTGTATCATGCTTTATTCACTTTATATTTTAATGTCATTTTATGCTGCTTCATGATAACTATCAAAAAGCTTTAAGTTTTCATTTAGTGTACATTTCAATGCATCAGTTAATATTCATTTAAAAATTAGTTTTTAAACTTGTCTCACTTCAAGCCAATGGTTGGTTGGTTGATTTTTAACAATAGCTTATAAAGTGTACACTTGGAGTTGTAATAAGCAAATGAAGAAAAATTAAAGTAAAATACAGACCAAGGATTTGAACTGAAAAGCCCAAATTTTTTTCAATCATAGGATTTTGTCCATCATATCCTCAGTTTTTGCATCTACAGATTCAACCAATTCAGAATCGAAAACAATATTTTTGAATGCCTAACCACAGATTCCCAACTGCAAATTGAAAATACATTTAACTCTTCAACAAGGTGGGAATTAGGGGAGTTAAGGGTGCCAACCCCAGAGCAATAGGAAATTCACATAAAACTTTTGGCTCACCAAAACTTAACTACAGTCAGACTTTGGGTCCATGGATTCAGCCACTTATGGCTGGGACACCACATTTGTGAATGCAAAAATACTGTTTTCTGTCTGTGGTTGGTTCAATGTACGGTCGCCAAACATGCAGATACAAAGGGCCAACTGCATCGAAAAAGACCCATGAATATTTGGACCTGCACAGTTCAAACTTGTGTTGTTCAAGGGTCATTTATACTATTTACAGACCCAAGGTTGGTTGATTTCCTGATGCAAAGAGCCAATTACCAACACTACTTAGGGTTGTTAAGCTGGGAAGTGAACCACTGTCACACAGCTCATTGTTTGCTGCACTATGTACTGTTATCATAGGTGCCTTTGTCAAAACTGTACATTCATACAAGCATTCATCAGTGTTGTTTCTGATTCCTCAATTCTATAACTGCCCACATCCAATCAATCCTTAAATGACATTGAGTCTCTTAACTGAGTCTAGAAATCTCATTGCCTTAATTCAAAGCCCTTCCACATGGATGAGTTAAAAAACTTTCTGGCTGTTTCCTTCCAGCTCCACAGTCCAATCTCTTTTTTACATAGCCGGTCAGAATTATTTTAACCACATGTCAACATAATCATATTTAAACCCTTCATTAACACTGAACTTCTCCAATATAAATCCAATAAAATGTTCATCAATGAAGGAAGAAGCAATCCGTATTAGAGTATTTTGTTTCTTGGTCACCAAAGTCCATTCTAAGACAACAATTTAGGAATTTTATTATTTGATCCCTGGTCTTATATAACCTAAACTTTAGTTAGATTTTTGTGGGAGATCCCATGAGTTTGTGAGCCTCAGATGATACAACAGTATACACTGAGAGGCCCACATGGGAAAAGTAAGGATTGACCTAACCTTGAAGGCTAAGTAAGATTTACACAGACAAATGAGAATGAGAGCAAACTAAATATTTTGAAGACAAGCATAAAAGCATAGTGTGGAATGCTCAAATAAATACAATTAAATTGGAATTTTTTTAAGGATGTAAATATATCTGATCAAGGCCTTTTTAATAACTAATACAAGAACTGCCAATATGATTCTTTTTAGTTTTAGTACAAATATTATTTTTCTAATTATCTTTTCTTTCACGTCTTTTGGGAAGAAAGGTGATTGCCTAGGTAGAATGATGATTCTACTTGACCATATAATAAGGTAGAGTCTTTTAATAAAGACTGTTACTCAAGGTAGGCTTTTCTTCCAGCATAACTCAATTCACATAGCAAGTCAGAAATATTTTAACCATGTCAAGCTAAACATTAGGATGTGTCCTATCTAGCCTTCATACCAGTATCTAAATTGGCTGCCAAGAACCACGCTGTTATCTAAAACTTTGGGAAATTACTAGTTAAAGCTTTATATTTTTTAATTAAAAATTAATACACTTTGGATTTCAGAGAATATAAAAGTCTTTAATGAGCACTAGTATTAGGGTCACTGTAAAAATTTCAGGAAGGAATTCATCAAAGGATGATATATGGGTTGAAAGAAACAAGAGCATTATGAGTTGGAGAGCATTCACATCCTAATGGAGGGTTAGAGCTCGGACAGCCATTGGCCTTCCACCAAAAAGTAATGAGACTGCCAACATTTTGGGAAGTGGATTCAAAGGAGTAAGAAGAGCAGTTGCTCACCTCCAGATTCACAAAATACAAAACCTGGGTAAAACCTCACCGTCTTCTCAAACTAGGTGACCCTATTGCTTGCTCACTCACAATCAAAGAGTTTTAAACTTTGCCTCCTCTTGGGTCACGTGATTATTGTTTTACTTATGGAGCAGCACCTATACAGCTCATGTTTTACTAATGTAAAATTAATTAGCAAGTGTTCAGAAAGCACTTTGAAGTTGAAAAGTTGTGTGGCTGCTAAGTATTATCATTATAATATTATCATAAAACACATAAAAGTCACAGGATCTTGTAAGCTAAATAGATGGAGAATGACTGTGCAGCGCAGCACTCGAGGAGAAGATGGCAAGGGAACAGCCTCCGAGGAGGGAGCTGGCATGGACTCCCCTGCAGAACAGGTGGGCCTAAGGGGGGAAGCGGGGGTGCAGGGTGGCCTGCCATTGCTTTTTGGGTCAACTTTCTGAAGGGACTAAATTAACGTAGTTTTATTTGCATTTTAAAGTTCTTAAAAGCAAGGTTACACTCTTAGCTTTTTAATGAAAATTAGAGTAATAAAAATAACAAAGGAAAAACAAGAATGAGAAAGATTGATAAACTTTAATCATCAGAATCTGTTTTGCTTGTGAATTTTTTGTGAAAAATCTCACCATCACAATTAGACCATTCGTGAAAGTATCTGTATAATTGCTGAAATTGCTGAGGTAAAATTGGGGGAATTTACTTTTAAAAAGATAATTTCACTTAGAAAATGTAAAGAGTACAAGATAGTTACATCAATTTCTAATACTGTGTGTTGATATAGAGACAATATTTGTGTTCATAACATGCTATTTTCCTTACAGGAAGTTTAGGCCTTAATATTTATTATTGAAACATTGCAATGCTTTACTGCTATACACTTTTAGTGGCATGATTTAACATTGTAGCTGGAAACAGCTTCCCATTAGCAGTGCCATATAATCAGGTAGGAATTGCCTGAAAGTCAAAGTGTTTCGACTGGTTACATAGCACACAAAGATGTGCAAATAATTTTTATGTTTTGATTCTTAACATAATCAAATTAACTCACAAATATAAATGTTCAGATATACATTACAGTCTTTCCTGGGCCCCAGGAAAATGCAGGTCTTGATAAACCTTTTGAGCCCAAAACATCTTTTTAATAAAAATTTTAAACAACTTTTCTGATTCTGAAATCTTGCCAACAACTAACCTCTAGGTAGAGTATAATATTGAGCAGAATGTAGCTTCCTGATAAACAGCTTGAATAATCAGTCATTTTACACATTCACATTAATATTTAGCTTCATCAGCTCTAAGAGAACCTCTGAAATCTTTTTCCATCAAATTAAGTTCCTATTAGCCCTTTTGATTTAATTAACAAAAATGCTAGTAAAATATTTAATCTTGGCTTCCAAGTAAATATGTTCTCTGTCCTTCATACTAACTTGCTATGCTCCTTTTGCTCCATGAACAATATATGAGAAATCAGACCCTGGTTTCATCCTTTAAAGGAATTAATAATTTTTAAGTACAACTTACTATCAGAACCACTGTTTCTGAAATTCCTAAAAATCATTGATATCCTTATTATCTTATCATTATTTTACATAAGTAGCTACAGGATATATTTGGTAAAAATATATAACACTTTGGGAAATTACGGGAAGTTGCTGAGATCAAAACAAGTTTTTCTATTCCTCCCTTAAACTCCCTCCCAAGATCCAATTTTTGTTGAATAAGTAGTCTATTTTTCCAGCAACATTCTACATAATAATACTTTCAGAAAAATAGAATTTGTATACCTGCAATTGTTTTTAAAGAACATTTTAAAGAAAACAATCTAAGTAGTGACCAAGTTAATTTTCCTTTAAAACTAGAAATATAGACACATACATATACACAGAGGAAAATTTCAGATCAATTAAACACTTTGCAAGTAGGATGAATATATATATCTTAGGAAACTCAGGTGAGAGTGACAGAAATAAACAGTTCATCGGCCTTTAAAATTAATTTCTATTACCATAACTTTACATTTATGAATTAAGATGGAAAAATCACTGCAGTGATCTTAGATTTTGCTAAAAGATAAGTGAGAGTTACAAGTTAGAGTGGCTTATATGATTTAATTTTAGACAAGAGGTGGGGGGGATAGCTGGGGAAAGAAGGGGAAGGGGCAAGTCAAGGTATATGAGTAGAGGACTCATGGTTATGGACAATGGCGGGGGGGACTGACTGCGGGAGTGGGGGGATGGGGCAGGGGAGAGCAACAGGGAAAAGGGTGGGACAACTGTAACTGAATAACAATAAAAAAATAGTGAAAACGTAGCCATCGCCTTCAAAAAAAAACAATGAGAAACAAACCCTAATCTTTGTTCTAACCCAAACCCTAAATATAATAATAATAACCAGAGGAGAAATAGCTACCTAGAATCCATATGTTATGGTCCCTAGATTTGAAATGCCCTGAAGTGAAAATATTGTTTTACAATTTTCTTTAAAATTAGAAAACTAGAATCGTGATTTTCAAAGTTCCTTCCACTTCCAAAATGTTGTGCATCTCTTATTCTACTTATATTACGATATAGACAAATAAGAAGGGAAAATAATAAAGTTTATCTATGTGTCTATAAGTGAATTATTGTGAAATTTGCCAACATTCAATTTTTTGATATACAAATTCGATGTTTTTATATCATTTAATATATTAGAAGGACATGGTTGAGAAGAAGAGAAAAATATATTCTAAATATTTGCTACATCTGGTTTCACACTCCATTTATTACTTTTTTTTTTTTTTAGGTTTATCTCATGGTACACTGTGTTGAGTAAAATACATAGACATATATCTATGAGTACAGAAAAGTTGCGTTAGAATAATTTATTCATTTATAGGAAATTAAGTTATCAGAGTTTTATAGTATCATTTAGTCAGTTATCTTTCAAAAAAATCTAAACACTATTTTAGACTCAATAAATGAGTTGGTCAGATTGGGGAAAAGTGTTCTCTAAATTTTTACATAGTAAGATGTCCTTTAGGGTTTTTTATTTTACTTTATTATAGACCCAAAAATTTCGTGGGCATCGTATCTCTATAGAAATATTAAGATATTCATTTTATGTGCAGTGTGTAACACTGATGAAAGAGATCAAAGATTTAACAAAATGGAAAAACATACTATATTAATGGATTGAAAGACAGCATAGCAAAGATTTCAATTACCTCCAAGTTGATATAGTTTTACTGCAAAATCTAAGCAAGATTTTTATTTATATAAAGACATGATTATCCAAAGTTTAGGGGGAGAATCATAGGAACTAATATAGCTAAAAAAATTTTGACAAAGAAGATAAAGTGGGAGAAATCAGTCTACCTGATTTTAAGAATTATTATACAGCTACAATAATGGAGATGGTGTGGTACTGGTGAGTTACTTTGATCAGTGAAATAGACGAGAACCAAGAAACAGATTCAAATATAACCAACTGATTTTTGACAAACATACAAAAGCAATTCAATGGAGGAAAGATCGTCTTTTAAGCAAGTAGTACTAGAGCAAGAAGACAGTCAAAGGAACAAAAATAACCTCTACTTAAAAGTCTTTTGCCTCATATAAAAAAATTAATTTTCATTGTTTCTTGCCCTTTTGGCTAAGATCAAAGTTAAAAATTAATTAAAAAATAATAATTTTAAGTGGATAGTGGAATAAAATGTACAAAATTTTAAGGAAAATAATATAGGAGAAAATCTTTGCCATTGATCTAGAGCTAGGCATAGCTCTTAGATTCAATACCAAAATCATGATCCATAAGATCTATATGAGAAATAAGACTTCAAAATTTAAAACTTTTTCTCTGTAAACCAGTTAAGAAAATGAATAGACAATCTACAGGCTGAGGGAAAATGTCTGCAAAACACAAATCCCACAAAGGACTAGGATCCAGGATATATAAAGAACTCTCAAAACTCAACACTAAAAAAAGAACAATTCAATTAGGAAAAAAAAAGCAAAAGACACATATATTTCAGAGAATATACAAATGGCAAATAAGTATATATAAAGATATTCAACATCATGAAAAGTAAAACCACGGGATATTTCCCCATAGCTATCAGACTATTTAAAATAATAAATTGTTATAGCAAAAAATGTAGGCAAGGATACAGAGGATTTGGGTCCCTTATGCACATTGATAGGAACATAAAATGTTACAGCCACTCTGAAAAACTATTTGGGAGTTTCTTAAAAACTAAACATGAAACTACCATATGACTGAGCAAACTACGCTTCTGAACATTTATCCCAAAGAAATGAAGATTTATTTTCACACAGAAACTTGTACATAAATGCTTATAGCAGCTTTATTACTAATAGCCAAAAAGTGGAAACAATCCACATGTTACTCATTGAACAAATGATTAAACAAAATGTGGCATATCTATAATATGAATTATTTCTCAAAAATGTCTAATATTTTTAAAGAACTATTAATATATAGAACCACTTGAATGAATTGTCAGAGAATTTTGATAAGTGAAAGTGAGTAAAACTCAAAAGATTGCATATTGTACGGTTCTGTTTATATAAATTCTTGAAATGACAAAATTATAGAAAAGGAGAACCAGGGTTAAGGAGAAAGAGCGGCCTGGAGCCAAATAGGTATGGTCATAAAAAGGCAGCACGAGGGACCCTTGTGGTGATGGAAATATTAGGTCCCTTGGCTGTTTCAATGTAAATATCCTGATTGTGATATTGTACTATTACTTTACAAGTTGTTGCCACTGGGGGAGACTGGGTAAAAGTGTACAAGGGATTTCTCTAGAGATTATTTCTTACACTACAAGTGAATCTATAATTGTCACAAAATGAAATATTAAAATTTTTTGAAAAAAATAAAACAAATGTCTTCTATTAGGTAGGACATTCTATAGGACAACTGATCCAGTATTTTCAAGTTGGTGTCATGAAAAATAAAAAAAAGAGTGTGAATATAAAAGCTGTTCTAGATTAACAGAGATATAAGAGGTATAATAACCAAGTGTAATGGAGAGATTTTTATTTGATTTTTGTTCAACAATAAAAACTTTATAAAAGACATTTTAAAAATAAGTAGAAATATCTGAATATGAACCTGGTATTGTAGAATATTAAGGAATTATTAGTAATTTCATTAGGTATGACAATGGTCACATTTTTTAAATGTCCTTACTTTTTATAGGAAAATATTTAGGGGTGAATGTCATGACACAGTATTTTTCTGTAACTATTCTAAAATAGCTAGGAAAATACATAAAGTAAATGTTGCGAAATGTTGCGAAATGTTCATAGCTCTTACATCTATGTGATAGTAATATGCAGGTTCACTAAACTATTTTTCCTACTTTCATGTATACTTTTAATTTTCCATGATAAAATAAAACTTCCTTTTATCCTATTTTCTTTACCATGGATAGTCTTACTTCTTCACTCCCCTTTTCAGCAAGCTCTTTGAAAAAGGGGTCAATGGTCACTTTGTCTCCAGTTCCTGTACTACTCACTTTCATATCACCTCTAACCAGTCTCCACTCCGAACATGTCTTTCATCAAGGTCACCAATTACCTCTATAATGCTAATCCAATAGTCCATTTTCTGTGTTCATTTGTTCATCTTATGTGAGCCATTTGCAACTTCTGACACAGCTGATTCCCTTCCTCATCCTTGAGACACTTACATTGGCTTCCAGGACACCACTTTCCCTTGGTTTTCTTCCTACTCTCACTAGTTGTTTCCTGTCTCCTTTGTTGGGTCTTCCTCTTCTCCATAATCTCTTCCTATGGGAGTGCCCCACTGATCATATCTTGGTCTTCTTTATCTGCATTTATTCTCTTGGTAATCTCATCTAGTACCAGAGCCTGATCTACATGTTGATGAGTACCAAACTTATATCACTGACCCAGACCCCTATGCCAAATTCTGGACTTGTATATACAACCTGCATCTCTCTTTGGACGCCTAGTGAACATTCACAACACAAAATGAACAAAACTGAATGCATAATCATCACCCTATAAGCTTGCTATATATATCCTTCCCATCTCAGTTGATGGCAGCTCCATCCTTCAAATCCTAAAGCTAAAGAACTGGAGGAAACCATCCTTGACTCCTCTTTTCCATTCACATTCAACAACAATCCATCATGAACTCATATCAACACTATACTCAAAATGCATGCAAGCTGCAATCCTTTTCACCACCTCTACCACTTTGGTTCAAGCCAACATCATTTTGTGCTTGGATTATTGTAATCTTTCCTATGTTATTGCTCTGCTTCTACCCTTATTCTCTGTAATTCATTCTCCACAAAGTAATTAAGAAATTAGGCCAGATCATCATAGTCTTCTGTCCAAACACCTCTTGATACTCCCATTTCACTCAGAAAAAAAGCCAATTTAATTACAATGATGCATATGGTTTTACATTATCTGGGCCTTGGTAACTTGCATAGTCTCTTACCACACTTCCCCTCGTTCACAGCTACAGCCACAATGCTCACCTAACATATTGAGCATGCCCTTCCTAAAGAGCCTTTGTCAAGTTGTTCCCTCTGCAAGGAATATTCCAGAAACCCCTATGGCTTATCCCCTCACTTGTTTCAAGTCTGCTTGGATTTGACTTTTTCAGTAAACCTAATCTGACTATTCTATTTAATGTTGCAGCCTAACACCAACCCCGTCTTACACACACTTCCACTTTTCAGATCTTTACTTAGCTCTATTTTTTCCTACAGAACTTAATATTGTTTCAACAGTTATGAATTTTAGTAATTGTGCCCTTTGTTGTCTATCCTCCTTCAGTAAAATGTAAGCTCCATAAGGAAAGAGGTTTTTTTTTCCTAAAACTGTGCTTACCAAATGGTAAGCCATCTAAAATATTTGCTGAATAAGTGAATTCTGATTTTATCATTACCGTCATTATTCATATGTGCTAAAAAATAAGCAGACTAATTATTATATTCATTAATTCTACAGGTTATTTTCCAAGCTTAGTAGTCTACTAAATCCGTAATTAATGAAATATAATATACTTTTATACTTAACATCAAATTCATATTTATTTCTGAGAGAGTTCTATATCTTACTCATATTAACACTTGCTTACCTGTCCTTTATGCTCAGAAGAACAGAGTCAAACACAAGAATGAAACTCACAAGGTGTGGAAAGATTACTCTGGGTATTGTAGTAACGGTGATTGCTGCAGTAATCATCGGACTCATTGTTCATTTCATCTTTTATGGTGAGTACTCATGATATCTGGCTTTCCAGTCACATGGACTTAATTTCCCATAGATGGAAAATTAGGAACTTTGAGAATGGGGGAAGGAAAGGAATCAGACAACATTATTTGGAAGAGAGAATTTCTTATGGTTAATAACACTTACTACAGTCTTTGTTCTTTAGTGAACTTTGGCCTAGGGCATTCTGAACCCAGAGATTTTGTATGTTCTTTTTTTAAATTCCCAGTAAAGATTTTGCTGCTGGAAGTACATTAATAAATAAAGTAGTCACAGTCTTTTACTGTTGAACTTTTAACTTTCTGAAGAGATGATGAGTTAACAAATCTCAAAGCCTACAATCTAGGATTCTAAACTAAGATTTCTTATTCCAAAACATACAATTATTCTCTAAACAATCTTTTTCTCATAAAACTCTTGAAAAGATATTTCCTATTAATGGGAGATTTTTATAAAGTACAAATTTTTCTATATATTTTTCATAAAAATAGAAACAATTATGGTATCCTTAAGCTTGATTTTTCTTAAAAATAGCTCTTGTGTGCCAAATTCTGTGTTCTATGCTTATTATTTTCTTTCACCAACTCTTTCCTAACTTTTTCAAGGATGGTGACTTTTTTATTTTAAAAAATCTGCATTCCCACAAGAGAATTACTTTGCTGAATAAGAAAATAAAAATAAAAAAGTACTGTAAACATACTAATGCTTTAAAACAAACTTGTACTTAATTAATTACATCTACCTGTATTTGAACATTAGTAACACATGTATGTATAAGAATCAGTTTATTAAGTCTAGAAGAACAATGCCTGGTGTGTATATAAATATTTTCCCCTAGAACCAACTCTGCTACCACCATGTCCCCATCCTATATAATTCAGGGCCCACAAGTTAGGAACTACTACTTTAAAACACAGTACTTCTGAATAAAATACATTTGGAAAAGAGACTGTCTGGCTAAATAAACATTTATTTCAGTTTAAAGGGAAAAAAGATTTACAAACAGAGAAAGCGTTGTACACAGTGGAGTAAAGAGGCCATCTCCCCAAGAACTAGGCATTTACTATTGTTTCAGCCTCATTTTCCATGCACACACTTCCAATAGACACAGAATGATGACTTGTGCAAACACAGTCATTAGGTAGATTGTAATGCCAGCTGCTACCCTGACAGATCAAGAACCTTAGTCATAGCATGTGCCCATAAACCTTTGAATAAAAGATGCTCACTCAAAACATAGACACAGAACCTGCTGCCGTTCATTAAGAGTATAAAGTGCCAGGAATTGGAGATAAGAAAAAGATATTTGAAGAGGTTATCTTTAGAAATAGGTAAGCTGTAATTTCTGATACTGCCACAACCACCCTGATATGTGAAGAGGGATTTCCCCTTCATATCAAGGCTGAGAGATGGCTTTGAATGAGAGACCAATATGATCCTTACAGATTCAGGAACACCATAGACTGAAGTCAGACTCACACCTGGAATATCTAAAGGACGAGGAAGTTGGAACTTGTTTGGTGGAGGGAAGAGGAAGTGCTACCTTTGGTCACTTTGAACAACCAGTCTTTGAGACAAATAATGCGTAGTTTCCTATGAAATGGACATAGGTCACCCAGGGGGGGAAAAAAAGCCCCCATCATCCTAGGTCCTGTCTAAGAGGCCACTTAGAGTGATAATCAGATTTCAGGTTAAAAAAAGGGAAATATCTTCAGTTGCCTAAATGCTGAGGAAAAGATAAACAAACTGGAATAGTTACATTTATCCATGTAAGGGAACTGCGGTTGACACATCTCCAAACAATGAGTGGGAGGGGAATTTCAAAGTTGAGTAAAACCAGATGGGCCTGAGTTTTGGACAGGTACTAAGTTCCTAGAACACCAAAGCTAGAAGTCAAATTCTCAGTCATTCAGGTAACAACGCAGTGGGTCCAGACCCAGTGAATGAAGTGGAAAGTGTGGAATAGCAGGCCTCATATGGAAAAATGTGAGGGAGAACTTTCAACTTTCTATCAAGTTCAAATGCTGATTATTATACAGACCTGAATATTTTAGCTTCTAAATTGAGAGGATATTTTGATTAATAGTTACCATATAACTTTATTACTGACAAACTTAAAAAATTGGTTTATGGTTACATCTTATAAAATATACTTGTTTGAAATACCAGTTTATATGTATTTGTGCATATGCATATAATTACCACTTTTATTTTATTCTATAGAAATTCTACACAGATAGTTTTAGTGGGCCTAGAAGAAACTATTCATGTAAGAATGATTATGGGTTCCAACATATTTAAGATCTTACTCTTGGATTTAGTCATAATATTACCTATTTCCCAGAAATTATAAACTTTAATGAGTTATAAACATTTCTGAAAAGGAGAAAAATACAAAATTAAATACTTCTGCATCAGAACAATGAGTAAGTTTTGTTAATAATATTTCTCAAGTAATAGTAAACCTGTAGAAGCAATAATGGAATTATTTGAGACTACCTAAAGTACTTTGAAAGGGCTTCCCAAATCCTACATTTTATTTCTTTTTTCTTTTTAAAAGTCATTAAATGGTTTTTCTCAAGGCTGTGTAGCTAATGCTACTATATCTTACCTGAATTTAAAAAATTAAATAAATCAGAAAGGTTTTTAAATAACCTATATATTTATCACTAAACAAACTAAATCTCAATCTGACTAACTGAACTGTATACTTTGTATCCAGATGCTTTGGCATGTACAAAGGCAGCTTTATGATGTTCCCCATTTGAATGAAATTTTCAGTATCATTTTAGATTTTCTAGCTCGCTATTCCAGACTCCAAAGCTGGGAGCAAGCAACCATCTCCTCATAATAACTACTGTTTACCTTGGGAACAGTAATTACTTAAAACAAGACAGCTGAACAAACCAATGCACAGCACAAATACTCCAAGATACCTCCTTTTATGTTGCACATGACTCTATATAATGGTAATATTTTCTATTTAGTTAACATTTTAAGAGATACATAGATGATAGATGGATATATAGATAAATAAAATTGGAAAAAGAATAAGAGTATCTGAAACTACATACAGATTCAACTCAACAAGCATTCACAGGTGACTACTATGTACTTAATGGCAGGTACTAGGTTTGGCACTGTAATGGGGAGATAGCAGTAATAGAGGAAAGCTTCTAGTGCATCACATGAGTCCTTGCACTAAAACTGCTTAGACTCTAAAGCAAAGTCAACATATTTTCTCTGTAAAAGACCAGATGTTGTATGATTTTCCACTTGATAAGCCATTACAGTCTCTACCACAACTCCTTGAGTCTACTGTTGTAGTGTTAAAGTAGCCAATATATAAAAAAATGAATGTAGCTGTTTTCCAATAAAACTTTATTGAGACTGAAACTTTAATTTTATATAATTTTTACATGTCACAAAGTATTCTTCTTTTGACTTTCTTTAACTTCTAAAAAAATATAAAAAACATTCTTCGCTCACAGGCCATCTGAATCCAGGCTACAGGCTAGATTTCACAGTTTGTTGACCCCTGATCTAGAGCAGTGAATTTTAACCCTGGCTGCACTTTAGAATCACCTGGAAAGCTTTTTTTTTTTTTTTTAATATGTGTTCACAAGTCCCCTCTTAAAGATACTGTCTAGAGTGGAAATTGTCATTTTAAAAGACCCAGGTAGTTCTAATGTGCAGCAAAGGTAGAGAACCACTAACCTAGAGGAAGACAGGTACACATAAGATTCTGCTACAAATTCGTTCAGAGGTCACTGACCCAAGTTCAGTATGTCACTTCAGGATGGCAAGGACCCAGGCTCCTTCCATCTCTCTGCTTCACCAGGACCTACTTTGCCCAGAGCATCTCATTGTCCAAAGGGACCATGCCAGTTCTGGCCGTCATGTCCGCATTCCAGCTGGCAAGAGAAAGAGGTAGGGAAGGAAGGAAGAGAGCATGCCCTCTCTCAATAAGAAAACATCTCAGAAGTTTGCACATAGAGAAGTTTGCTCATTTTATTTGTTAAACCTAAAAGCACTAGAATCACTCCTAGATGTAACAGTGGCAGGAAAGTGTAGTTTTTTTTTATTTTTGGATAATACCTTCTCAGTTAAAAGTCACAAACTGTTTCATTATAGGAAAAGGGAAGAAAGGAGATCAGAGATCAGTAAATAACAGGGTTCCCCCTGCTGCCCTCTCAGGAGGTTAAAATGCTGTTTCAGTAGGCTAGACTGTGAGTGACTGGTGAGATGAGATTGCCAGTAAAGCTTCTGTATATGCATGCAGAAAATTCATCTTTCTTCCTGATTTTCTCCCTACTACTGTTTCATGATAATATCGCCAAATCTCCCTATGCTAACTTAATAAAGTGTTAGCCCTCAAAATAGTAACTTCACTTGGAAGGAATAGAAAAATGAAAGGTAAAAACATCAGAGTACAGGCAGAAGTAATTCCTTCTAAAATTCAAACTCATTTGCTCTGTGTTCTTGCTTTCAAGGGCCAAAATGATAAAGATGTGAGGCTCTTTTCATGGAGTGTATTTTCATGCCAAGTTTGTTAACTCTAATAGATTCTGTAAAAGATACCTCTTTGACTCTGGAAGAATGTCTGGGAAACCCTGGCCTTGAGAACTACTTTCAGCAAGTCTTAAATTAATGGACAGGAGAAGCCAAGGATCAAACTGAACATCTTTAAGGTGATTCATCTTTCAAGACAATAGCAGCCAAGAATGGGAGCGATAGGTGGCCATCAGATTGTTTTGAGCAAACAAGTCACCGTATGTGAAAAACAGCTAGGTGGGAGACCATACAGGGAGACATGCACAGTTATCAGTTAATTATAAACTCACAGTGTATATATCATGCTGATGACACACGAAAAAATTATATTCTCATAGGACAAATGGTGCTGTAAAAGAAAATTCAACATAAATCCACCTCCTTGAACATTTTTAGATTTATTTTCAATAATTTTTTTAAAAAATATAAAAAGGAGTAGTGGAGGAAT